GTAGTAGTAGTAGTAGTAGTAGACGCAGTAGTAGTAGCAGTAGTAGCAGTAGGAGTAGTAGTAGCGCGAGTACTAGCACTAGCACAGTTGTAGTAGTAGTAGTAGTAGTAGTAGTAGTAGTAGTAGTGGTAGTAATAGCAGTAGTAGTGTTACTACTTTTGATATTATTATTACTATACTGTACAGCTCCACAAGACCCTACAAGCCCCTCACTCTAAACCCTCGACCCCCAAACCCCTAACCTAACCCATCAAGCCATGTAGTTTAGGGGCCTAAGAAATTACAAATGCTACTTTTCTTTTGGGGGGGGGATTCCGCATTATGGGTGTAGTAAATTACGCCCCAAAACCCGATTCCAATAGAACTGGTCACGACCTCAACGGCACACCTCAGACCCTGACCCGAACCCCCCTACAAAAACACGAAGATGCTAAAGACCCCATAAACCTTATAGAAGCCCTAATATACGGGGGGAGGTCTTAGAATAGGGTTTCGGATTATAGCATCATCACCTTGGAACCACGTTTGGGACTATAACGGAAGAACATCATCCATTATTCCGAGCCCGATGGTTCCTCGGCAGCGCCGCCCGGCAGAATTCTCTCAACCAGGAGGCCGGGCCTGGATAGAAGAGTCACAGCGGTTTATGGTTTTGAGGGTGTGGTTTTTTTGGGGGGGAGTTCGCATTTAGGGCCTCAGAGCATGCAAGATGAGGGCTCAATGCTACGAAGGTCTAAGGTGGAGCTTCCAGCACCTGACCCGGATGCTCGGGAAGAGCTTAAACGGATTTACTCGGTGACTTTGTACGAAATCCATTCCCCCAGCCCGGACAAAAAGAACCGCATGTAACCCTTGTTGTTGTCGTCGCCCTAGCCTTGCTGATTCAGCAGGAGTAGTAACACTAGTCGTCATCGTCGTCACCGTCGTCGTAGACGTTGTCGTCGTAGTCGTCGCCGAGGGACCTGGAGCGCGTCGGAATGCAGGCCCGGGCTTCTCGTATCAAGATAGTGGACGGTTAAGGTTTAGGGTTTAGGGTTTAGGGTTTAGGGTTTGGGATCATGTGCACACATAAAAGCATGGAAGCCAGCATACCTCCTTCAGTAGAGAATCTTGCGAAACTCGGCCCTGTAGCACGGCACTTTCTAAAGCAAACAGACCCTAAACCCTGGAGCCCACGCCCTACACTCTAAATTCCGACGCTACACAAGCCCTGACCACAGCGATGCTTGAATATTAGGGTTTTAGGGTAGATCATGCTATACTTGTCATCAGGAACCCTCCCATAACAGTATTGGTAATTATTTAGGCCCCTATATTCATACCCTTTTTTTGCAGCAAGCTTCTCTCGCCCGGAACTGCCCGAATATACCCTAAACCTTAAACCCAAAACCTATATTCAACCCTTTTTGCAACAGGCTTTCCACTTCGCCGGGAGTTGGAGAAACCCTAAACCCTAAACCGATCTTCATACCCTAAACCCTAACCCTACATTCATTAGTTTACTTCATTTGGCCCCTGGTGCTGGTTCTCGATCGACGCCACATCGAGGCCCAAGTCGGTGTTGTCGGCCTTGTACTCTCACAGGGTTTTAGGATTTAGGGCTTTAGGGCTTTAGGGGTTTAGGGGTTTGGGGGTTTTGGGATTTAGGGCTTTTAGGGGTTTAGGGGTTTAGGGCTTAGGGCTTTAGGGGTTTAGGGGTTTAGGGGTTTTAGGATTTAGGGCTTTTAGGGGTTTAGGGGTTTAGGGCTTAGGGCTTTAGGGGTTTAGGGGTTTAGGGGTTTTAGGATTTAGGGCTTTAGGGTTTAGGGGTTTAGGGCTTTAGGGCTTTAGGGGTTTATAGGGGTTTTAGGATTTAGGGCTTTTA